ACTAACTTAACTATGTATTTTCTTTATTAACCCACTCATAAAACAATGATGAGGTCCAGATTGGAAGTCACCATGCCTGTCAAATTGTTTGACAGAGTCTGAGAATTCAAATGTAGATCCCCCATGATGGTGACCATGAGATTTGTAAAACTGGAAAAAAAAAAGTCTTCGACTTTTTACAGCTACAGAGATCTCATATTGTACTCCAAATCATTTTGCCAGTCACTTTTTTAGACATCAGCAAGCATATTAGTACTCATAATTATGTGTCATTGAACAAACTGTGCAGTGTCTAGAGACTACAACTATAGGCTCCTTCTAAATTTTAACGCTTTTCCGCAGGCCACCCATATACTATGGAAAAGGTGGCTTGAACGGTGTTCGTGCACAGGTTAGAACAAGACCAAGAAATTTTCGAACCACAACCCCCCCCCCCCCATTTTTCTTTTCATGAAGGGGTTAGGTTTAGGGCACAACTTCTCGGCTTGCTTGCAAGGCGCGTTTGACCAGGTAAAGTAACAATGGCACGTGCCTGTTTGTCTGGCAACGGCACCAAATATCTAGGGCAATTGAGAAAATTTGTAGGCTGGTCGGGCATTTTGGCACAGCGTGGCACAATTTCAGCAAACTTCATGGTTCTGACACAGCTCGGCGCATAGATGAGGAATTTTATCAAATTGGCGCAATTGGCGCAGCTGTTGCACCCCTTCGATTCTAAGCACCCCCCCACCCCCCCTCCCGCCCCCATTTTAACTAGAAATAGTTTAGAAAAAACGTTTGCTTGCGGATATAAGCACCCCTCTTTTTTTTTACTTTCTGCAAGCATGGTACAGTCAGGGCCGCAGCGCACCCTCTCGTCGTTAATCTCGAAAGCCGCCATGTGATGTATGTTGCTAGGTGCAGACAAGAGGCAGCGGCACAATCCAATCCAATCTGCAAGTACAAACAGGTTAGGCTAGCTTTGCGGTGGCGTGTGGCATGTGCATGTGTCTTTCTCAGTTGTTGGATAGCCCTGACATTGGTCAGAATCGGTGCAAAGAGGGCTTCCTACAAATTGAAGTTTAAGCAAGCAGCGATCGCATTTAATGAGGACAATGGCAGACACAGTGTTGCAGTAGAATTCCGCGTGGACCGAGCCTGCATCAACAGGTGGAGGAAGCAGGCAAAGGCAACGGAGGTCGCGATGAGAATAGATTCTCCCGCGTGGTGTTTCTTGCTAGCAATGGCGGGGGGGAGCACAAGATGCAGAGGAACAAATTTCTTTGAGACATCTGACACCAATACGGCCAAAAGCTGGCAACAGATTTGATGACAAACTCGATGCTTTCCAGCAACATTGCTGGTTTTTTCACAGATAAATAGCTATGATTTCGGCTGAGTCGGCAATGTCAATGATTGATTGATTGATGACTGTTGATTTATATGTGTCGTTTAACATATTAAAACCACCATATGATTATGAGAGATGCCGTAGTGAAGGGCTCCGGAAATTTTGACCATCTGTGATTCTTTAACGTGCACCTGAATCTGAGTACACAGGCTACAGCATTTTCGCCTGCATATAAAATGCAGCCGCCCGCAGCCCGGATACATCCTGCAAACCTGCGAGTCACCAGCCGAGTACTTTAGCCACTAGGCCACCGCGGCGGTGGCAGCAATACCGATGAGACTCCTGTCTCTTTCAAAAGCCGAGAGCATTGCACCATTAATGAAGTAGGGAGCCCAAGAAGTGAGATTGAAGATGGCAGAATACTAGGAAGCAGCGTGTCACAGCGATGCTGTGCATCACAGCTGACGAGCGCAATCTTCTACCCTACATAACTCTGAAGAAGAAAAACGCTCGGTCGCAATTTCAGGAGGCATGACACCAGTGCTGCAACACCTGGACGCCCCAGTTGAACAAGCCGTTCAAGTCCCACCTTCGACAGGAGCATGAAAGGCGAGTTCGGAACCTCAAAAAAAAAAATAATAACAGCAACCGGAAGTTGCAGAAAGTGTCTCTGTCCACCGTGGCAACATGGATTCGAACACACGGAACGTAACAAGTCGACGTTGTCGCGAAGTCGCTCAAGAAGTGTTGCATTACAAACAACCTGCATGGCACCAAAGATGATCTGTTGTGGGACACTGACAGTGGTGGCTTGAATGGTGCGATGGACTGAGCGGTGCGACGGACTTGAGCGGGCAGTGATAGTGACCGGCCTGCTACAAGAGTGGTGCGTTCACTGTGCGCACCTATTTTTATAATTCTTTTCAAATTAAACGCAATTTCTCGCATCAGCCTTGTTGATATGTTGCCGCACAAAAGGGGGTTGGGCTGAGCGGTCTTACGAAGCAGAGACGCCAACACGGTCCCGAGGGCGCCACTGCTCCGAACTACGCCGCCAAGGCACAGCCGTTTGGTAGCGTGGTTACTCAGCTCACGAGTGCTTCTGCGCAGAGCTGATAAACGTGCGGACGAGGACGACGGTGGGTTAAGGCAAGGCAAGGTTAAGGCAGCATAAAAATAGAGGCGTTTTAAATTTGGCACTGGGGCCGACAGCTTAGGGACTCGAAGAGCCGAGATGTCTTCTCTCGCATGCAATCCGTCGGCTTCTCTTTCTGTTACAAAGTGCACCGCCGACGAGGTTACGAAGGGTGCCACGAAACTCGCCGCTGCAAAGGACACCGGGCGCACCGATTGCGAAAGGGTTCAACGCAACGAGAGGCTCCTTTGACACATAGGTCTACTGCCAGCGACGCGCCGCAGGGCTTTTTTTTTATAGGCACGGGTGGATCCTTTGAGTCACCAACGTCCAACCAGAAGCGCCGCTGTCCGTGATGTCAGAATCCGCCAATGGGGCCCCGCCGCGGGCCGCATCATGCCTCATCAAATCTGGAGCCGCTGCGCATGGTTGCAGCCAAGGAAAAGGGACGTTCTCACGCATTGCGTAAGACTCGCCAGACTGGAAGACGCTGATTGCTTCAACGGGCTCGGGGTTGAGGGAGGTCGCTGTGCGTTGCATGACAGACCAGCACCGCCGCTTGATGACGTCGTTGAGTTGCGTCAGGCGGGTTCAACCGCTGGCCTTGACACAGATTGCCTTTGCAGAGGCATTGACGTTCGGTGTGGACTCGCAGGCTTAACAGCGTTCATTTTTCAAATTTAGGCACCCCCCTTCACTTTGAATATCCCCGATTGTGAAAAAAAGAGGATACTTATAATTGAGTAAACAAGGTAGCCATCAAGTGCAAACACACAAACCATTCCTGCGAAACAGGGCAAATGAAAGTGTGCTAAATCACTAATAGCCTTTTCGGTCAATGTTCAAATTTATAGGACTCTGTAAACTATTAAGTCTTGGGGCTTTACTTGCTGAAAACTATGGTATGATCGTGAGATGTGCCACAGTATCCTGTAACTCCGGATGACTAATTTTAACAACTTGGGATCCTTTAATGTGCACCTCAATATAAACACACAGGCCTTCTCTCATTTTACACCCATTAAATTGGCCGTTGGTTATCTGCCATTGGTCAAAAGCCACAGCCCAGAAATTTTCACCAATGGAATACAGCTAATGAAGGCATAAGAAAGTCGAAGTATCATAATAGAATTACGCCACCATCGTTAAGCGATTCTCTTTTGATTTTATAAAACTGATGCATTTACTTAATTCTAGGGTCTAAGCTGACCCTACAGTTTGGTATACGATTACTGTTAGAAGAATAGTATCAGTCCAAATTGATTGATATGTGGAGTTCATTGTCCCAAAACCACAATATCACTATGAGAGACGCCCTTGTGGAGGGCTCCGGAAATTTTGACCACCTGAGGTTCTTTAATGTGCCCCCAAATCTGAGCACACGGACCTGCAGCATTTTCGCCTTCATCCAAAATGCAGCCGCCACAGTTGGGATTCAATCCCGCAACCAGCGAGTTGGCAGCCGAGTGCCTTAGACCAACGCGGCGGGTGGTATCAGTCTAGACTTAAAGTAACACGGTAATGACTATGACGCAGCAACCACAAGGACGACTTAAGATGTGTGCAATGTCACTGCACAATAACGGCCCATACAGTGCAGCGCACTACCACACCCGGTGCAGTCAGCGGATGCAAGCACACTTCGACGAGCCCGTGAAAAAGATGGCTCTTACCATATGCAGGCTTGGGTCACAGATTCCCAATGCATTGTGCACAGAACAAGCTCTGAAGAAAAAACAATAATGTGCAAACACCTTTTTTCCAGTTTCATAAATGGCCGTAACCTGGTGCATGGGTCAGGAATCACTCTGGGGCAGGTTCCAAGGAAAGCAGCCAGTGGTGCGGTTACTGAACTGCAAGTGACAGTAGTTCAGTAGCCACGAAAAAGAGTGGCTGAACACCGCACTCTAAACTGTCCGGCCGCAAACGCATCTTAACAATGGGGTTGTCTTCATCTTATCTCACTATATATACACTAGGGAGAACTTTGGCGCTAGTGTCTATGGGAGCTGCAATGCAGGGTGTTTCAGCAAGCATGTGAATGACTGGTAGTACATGGATTTGCCTACTCTTTGTACTTTCAGTTTCATTCAGTTTCACGTGGCTTGGAGGTGCTTTATCACGAATTGACAATCAGCGAATGTTGAGCCATCGCTTCTCACCACTGCAACCTTTTAGGCTCATTATTTCAAATCGGGTCATGAAGTTCAAAACCAGTTAATTCTTTTATAGAAAAAAAAAAACCAAAACACAAAATTAAACTAAGCCAAAAGTGCATTCAAAGCCCGCAAGCACAAAGACTAGGCAAATCTGTGTACTACCCATCATTTCCACAAAAACTGAACGATTGCAGCGCCAGAGTCCCCTCTAGTTAACTTTAGAAAACTATGATCTCAATGACAGAGTTGCCAATGAATTTTTCAAGAAATTTCTCAACGAGCCACGAAAACACCCCTCTGAGCAATAAAACAAGGCACACTTGTTGCCCCCATTGTCAACTCGATGTCTTCATTGAAAACGTGCAGGTCCCCTCACCTGGTCCCAGTTGCGCCCTTTCCACTTGGCGGCCACGGTCGTCAGGCGCTCGTCCTCCTCGGGAGTCCAGGGGCCCTGGTTCAGGCGCACGTCCAGCAGGTTGCGCCACCTCGCCTCGCAGTCGAATGCCGTCCGGTTCGTCCGCATGTCAACAGCTGCAATGCGCAGCCAGTCGATGGGGCGCGTAGCCTGCTCCAGCAGCTCTTCCAGGCTCAGATCGCGAGTCTTGGCCATCTGCGAACGAGCGAACGGAATTCAAAGCTTGCAGGTTCGATCCCTGCCAGAGGCAAGTCGTCTTTCTGCCTGTCACATCTGTATCACCATTACTACAGTACACTTATAACAGCAGAATTATGAAAAAGCTAACAAAAAAGCCAACGACCTTAAATAGAAACCTTTAAATGATTCTGCAGTTTAATTATCTAAAATGCAAGTTTAATGCATACCTTTATATATGTCACAAATTCTCCATATGTCACAAAAAAAGAAGACGTTGGAACAAAAAACGTACCTAGTAACTTCAGTCGAAACCGGGTATATCGAACTCGCCAAAAAACGTTTATTAGTTCGATATATGGTATAATTGGATATAGGCCCAGTATAGGTTTTGACCCTAAGGCACATAACAAACTAGAAGAAAAGTACTTTATTAATATGGTGACTTACTTGCGTGCCCTACTGTGGAACAAAATAGTCCCAAATTTTTTTCTGTGTCAACGACTTCGCTGCCTGCGACAGCAGCAACGCCTCCACGTTGTCCAACGAGTCGGAGCAGCTGAGGCCGCAACCTTCCACATTCAAGCACTAGCTCCGGACCAACGCAAGTGCACTATTCGCTTCGGAGGATGTAGGCAATGGGCCGTCGTCGATTTCCCTATTGCTGTCGCTTTGGCTCGTGGTCGGCACGACGTCTGCAATGTAATCCTCATTCTGTAATTGGCCCATGATGGGGACATCATCGTCCGCACTGACAAACTCGTCGAATGTCGATCCGTCGATAGCACCCGAGAACTCTGCTAGCTCGTTCCAAACTTCGGTGGAAACACCTGCGGTGTCTTCAGTGCTGTCAGAATTTGGGGTGTCATCCCCAGGCATGCGGAAGCCAGCATGCCTAAAGCAGTTCTAAATCGTCTCCTTCTTGACATCTGCCCACGATCTACTCAACATAGAAATAGCTCCGAGCAAGTCGATCTCAAACTCCCTGCCGACACGAAGGTTCTGCAGCAACCTCTCCACCAGGCACTTCCATTAGCCGGCTTTCATTGCGCGTATAACGCCTTGATCCAGTGGTTGCAGTACAGACGTAGTGTTCGGGGGCAAAAAATGCAGCTCGATGTTGCTGAAGGTCGTACTGCAGTGGTGCGATGAACAATTGTCCACGAGCAGGCACACCTTGCGATTTTCGCCTACCAAATCATCATTCCATGACGATAGCCATCTGCTGAAAAGCTTCCCGGTCATCCACGCTTTTGAGTTTGCTCGGTAGGTAACTGGAAGCGACAGCGCATTTCGAAAACACCGCTGTGCCGTGCTTTTCCCGATAACCAGAGGTCGAAGCTTTTTCGATCCATCTAAATTAGCTGCCAACAGCACGGACACACGAGCTTTGTTTGCCTTGCTGCCGCTTGTCCGCTTGTCCAAGACACTTGCTGTTGCCACGACGCGCAAGTGTCTTGTTTGGCAACATTTGCCAAAATAGAGCGGTTTCATCCACATTGAAGATACCTTGGGCGTTATATCTTGCTGCGATATCTCGCCAGTTTACCTCGAGCCATTTTTCTAGACTGTCCAGGTCCGTCGCTCTGCTTTCACCTGTAACAGCTTTGCCAACGATGTCGTGCCGTTCTTTGAACCGCTGAAGCCAGCCTGAACCGTCTTGGAAATCATTCCTGCCAAGCAGAAAAGCAAGGTCCTTGGCTTTCTGCTCGATCATAGGGCCGGACACCGGCATGTTTCCCGATCGAACGTCCACAGACCACTTGTAAACGGCCGCTTCAACATCTTCGTACATAGCAGCGCGCACACGTCGGGGCGCCACGGGCACCTGGCCTTTTGTCCGACTTGGCCCCGATGTCTGCGTTGTTCTTCAGGATAGTACTCAAAGTGCTTTTTAGGATTTTGTACACAGCGGCGACGTCGGACTTCTTTTCACCGCGCTCAACCCGATTGATGATTTCGAGTTTCGCGGCGAACGGCGAATTTTGCCTCTTTGCGCAAGCCATGATGACAGCACGCCAATACAGTTCACAGAGCATTAACAGGCAACACCACAGACCACGCTGAATCGGCAGTAGCAGGCACACAAGCATAAAGAAAAAAAAAATGGTGTTCACTTCTACCACCTTCGCCCCTCGGAGAAAGCCCAATGGCCTCTGATTGGCTGCAAGCGCTGTGAGCGGGCCAGGATCATTTCTTGGAGGGGGGTGTTCGCCCGCGCACATCCGGGTCTAACCAACGTTTTCTAGGGTGGCGCCGGCAGTTTTCCACACCACCGCGAGGGAAAGCCAACTTGCTGGGGCACTTCTGAGACACATGGAGTTTGATATATCAGTTGTCGTTGCTATTTTCGTTCGATAAAACAGTAACTTTTGCTGTATACTCTCAATGTAAACTTACCCTGTTTAGGAATTGTTCGATATACGGAATATTTTGATATAAACGGGTTCGATATAGTCGGGCTCGACTGTACGTATCATGTCGTGTGGTGCATCTTGGGTATGCACAAATCAAAGAAACAAAATCATTGAAGATAGAAAGTAAGAGTTGAAGATAGAAATTAGGAGTTGTTATACATGCTTCACATTCTCTTCCATCAGCTACAAATGAATTGTTCCTAGCATAGAATACGTTGCACTAAACGGTGCTGGAATTTTCATGCTGAAAGCCATCTTCCCCGTGAGTGTTTGACAGTCGGCATTAAAGGCCGCATACATTTCGTAACTTGCTTGCTCGAACCTTTTCAATATGTCACGAATTCGCGACACGCGGCAGTAAAGGGTAATTTTCGTTGGCTTCGTTAAGGCTGCTTGCCTTTTCTGCCCCCCCGGTACTCCTCTGGGCACTATAAAACACTGTTATGATGATCGTGAAATTACAGATTAGCTTTAATAAACAATACTAATGTTGGTGCTTAACATATTAAAACCAAAATGTGATAACAAGGGGTACCGCAGCGGAGGGTTCTAGAAATTTTGAACTAGGTTTATTAACGTGCACTTGAATCTAAGTGCACGAGCCTTGTACATTTTTACGTCTATCGAAAATGTGGGGGACTCTACACTTAGATTCAGAAGCATGTTAACGAGAGATGCTAACAAAAAAAATGCCAGTTTTTGCAAAATTACATTGTTTTTACTTGCTTTCACAAATTGATTTTCTTAATGACAAAAGCAGTAAAAAAAGTTGACCTAATTACACTCAAAGTAGGTTGAAATCCGTTTTAAAGAACACAAGGTGGCTATCGAAAATTGAAAGGAGCTCATTGTCTAGAATCATTGAGAAGTTGTCACCAAACTCTCATGATGAAGAAGTAATTTTAAAAAGCACATTTTTGCCACATAGATGAGCTTTCATTTCTACGTTTCAAATGCATTTTTATCCAAGTGCAATTTCGGGCAACTTTTTAGTTTAGCCCCAGGCACTACAACTACACTGTTTGTATCAAACGTTTTGGGAAAAGTTTAGAAAAATATATTTGCTAACAATATTGCCACAATGCCTCAAACTATTCCAAGGCAGATTTCTAGATCCTCGACACACTTTCGCCAACAGTTTTTTTCACAATTCGAAGGCTACCTGGTAGGCAAATTTCAGAGGGTCCTTATACTGAGCACGCATACAAGCTTCTTCAACAGCACTTGGGGTACCATATGGTGATGTACTTGGAGGCAGGCTTTCACTTTCGGGAATAGGTAATAGTTTTCTGGAGTAGAGCAAGAGGTTGGTAAATTGCCTGTATGCCAGTTATCACCAGGCAGTTGGGCGTTGTCAGGCCAGCGCTAAACTTGTGCCGCGCTCCTGTTCAATTGTATGCTGCATTCTGCTCCTGTATCAGGTCACTAAGCAGAGATCCAATAAAAACTTAAGTGATTGACACTTTGTGTCTCTGAAAGGCCATATCCCCCCAACAGTGCACACCCAGTGAGAGTATGCTGCAAGATTCCATAAGAACCTGCATATAGTCCAGACCCATCTATAGTCCTGATCCGGATATACAGTGAAACCTGCCTATAACGAACCTCCATATAATGAATTTTTCGATATAACAAAGTTTTTCTATTCCCCGCCGTTACTCCATTGAAGCACATGCATTTGCTCCCTCTACGTAACAAAGTAACAGTGGGAGACATCCTTGATATAACGAATTTTCGCCACGGACAATCTAGGAATCTTGCCCCGATTTTTGCCATTTAGGCACGAAGGTGGAAGGTGCGTCTTCCACAGTTGCCCCCGCCAATGAAGCGCGTAGTGGCGGCGGTGCACTCATGGCCCCGGCAATTCCCATGCTGGCTACGGCTCAAGGCAGGCCTGTGCCCCACGAGCCGTTCTAGCCGCCGCGGACGAATGTGCCCACCCCTCCCTCCAAACGAAAAGAAAAAAAAAGTAGTTTGCGTTGGCAGTGCCACGGTTTCAGTTAGCGTCCCGTACGTGGGGCTGCACTGCATATGGAGGGCGCTTTAACGAGTAGTTTTCCGCTGTATCCGTGTCATTCGCTCTTCGTTTTCGACATCATGTGCGCGCAGCCACGACGATGCTCAGCTTTGTGGTTTTTGTGGCTTGTTTGTTTTTTAATGTGGATAACCATGTCGTCACCACCAAGGAGATGTAAGATTAGGCACTGATGGAAACTGACACCACGGTGACAAAGACAGATCTTCGGAAGCCGACTCGTCACGCGCTTCTATCTTGCGCCGTGCCGTGAGTTTGTATGCTTTGGCGATCAGCTCTGGAACAACATGGTGGCGCCTTAAATGCAATATCAACAAATCGTAATGCTTTACAAGATAGGCAGACAACTCTCGTGGGTCCAATATCGCGGAACTCCTACAAAACTTTGTTGTAAGCAAGTACGACCGCTCCAGGGACGAGTGCTCTTTTCACACACTCTCTTCGAGTTGAAGCGCACTGACGCTTGCCAAGATAGCACGAGCACCAGCGGTCCGACTGCACACTTAACATCAATTGCTAACACCATTGCTACTACACCTCCTGCAGCGATTTTTCACGCTTGTTGAAGACTGGTGATTTCCTTTCTGTTTGAGCAATCGACGGCAGCCTGAACATGCGAGGAATGTTATTGTATGCAGCTTCCAGGCGATAGAGAAGAGCCGACTCACTTTATCTCTGCTTCAGCAGCCCTCGCACACACACTTTTACCCACTCGTAAAAGTTACGATGCATGGGGGCATGTTATTAATTTGTTACGAAACATGGCAGCGGCAGCACCCCTCCCCCATCTCTCACCAAGAGTGTACACATGATTGCTATTAAAATAACGCATTTTTTACTGCCCAATAAGTGTTCTAGGTTAGCTCTGCCTTCAGTTTCCCTTTTTTTTTAAATTTGTGCAATTATTTTTCAAATTTTTCATACCAAACCTGCACACAACGAAATCTTTACAGCAAATTTTTCCAGGTATTTGTCAATTTCAATATATCCTCACTCCACCATAGTCTGAGGATAGAAAACGCAAGAGAAAAGCTTTCACAGTAATATAGCAACACAGGAACTAAAAAAAATTATTCACACAGTTATTCATCATCGTCTAACGCACTTTATTCCAAAACTCCCTAGTCCGATATGTCTTCCCACAGCTCCTCACCTTCACAACCATCAAAAGTGTTTGCAACCAAGTACTCCTGGACGGCACAGCGAACGAGCGCCTTGGGAGTCGATGTTTTAGAGATTCACGTGCACTGCATCGCTTAGGGAGCCCTACTTCAGCCTTGTGGCAAGGGTAGCTTCCGGACATCCTGATTGCATCTACTCCGCATACAGTGCTTGAAACGGTCCTTGACAGCTTTATTTAGGCACACATCATACGGCGCTTATAATTTGTCCTTCGAAGGCAATGACAAGCTAGGCATGCGAGAGTCGTGCAGCAGCCGCTTTTTAGAGGTGACATCGAAACGCGCCAAGCACGAGTATTGATGGGAGCTCCAGCAGTGCTCCATTGCCATTGAACAAAGCCTGTCAAAGCCCGTTCAACGTCGCAAAACGCTCCAGTTTTCGACCCCGGAAACTTCTCGAACAGCAGCACACAAAGAGAGCTTCCTTCCATTTCCCCCCAACCACGAATACTTTGCCTGTCTACTAAACTTCCTATTCACTGCACAGTTGCCAATGGTTCTGGCCTAATGATAATGACAGAGCCATGCAATGCCGAAACTGAAACTAAATTCTCAGCTGAAAATTATTGAGAATGGGCACAGCCCGGGGCCGATGTTAGACAGAATGGAAGCTAGGAAAACACCTCGGACTATACGCGAGTTTTTACTTGCACGGTAACACCGGGACAAAATTGTACCAGGTATTTTCTATCAAAACATTGTACAGTTAAACACCTTTATAAGGGGCAGCAATTCCTGTCTTTTATATAAAATGTCTCTTCTAAGCATGGTACCTCGTATGGGTTTTCATATCGACCCGTAATTTACTGTAGGAATACTGGTGTCTTTTATACCAATTTGTCTGTTATATCAGTGTCTCTTATAAAGAGGTTCGACTGTATTTGCAATGTTCAGCGTCTCGAGGTAACACAACAAATTCACTCCGAAATCACAACAGGCTGTGAATAGCGCTTACCTGCTCCTCCAGCTGGTCTATGCGAGCGGTGATTTCGGCTATCTGGTCGGGATCCTCAGTCTCCAGAATCTTCTGTGCCAGGGCCTCCTTGCGGTCCATCATGGACCGCAAGGAGGCCCTGCTGCAGCACTCTGCTGCAGCACGTTGCTCTTCGAGACTCTGCTGCAGCACGTTGCTCTTCACTGCTTCCACCTGGGAAAACAAGATCACCGCCCTTTGTTCGACACCTCCTACAGCACCTCGTGCTTTTCCAAAGAAGGTAGATTAAATTATTTTTGCTAATGGCAGCATTACTTAGTTGAGGCAGGTGTGAGGGAATCTATATTTTCAGCTTTGAAAATCAAATTCAACGCGCATCTTTCTCTCAATAAATTGAGTCAGAAAATTGCCTGCATGTTAAAACCAAACCGAAACCGCGTTACCAACAGCCTCCCATCAGAAGAGTTAGACACAGTGTCGTCCACATCTAATGATGGCGATGCATGACTACCTCACGAGGTTGCATTGAATGCCTTCTCGCTCGACTGAGATATTGTAATCTGTTGCCTCATAAAGCGCAAATACTAGCAGCATCCCGCTGTTATAATGAATGCTGATGTCAGGTGAAAGTTATTTTGCACGGTGAAAATAGTTACATTGCACCCTTTTGCATGCTCAAGCTTGTGATTACGAGTGCCACAAATCAAGGCAGATGATCAGCTGTACATGGACCAGAAAAAGTTTCCACAGACCAAAAAACAAAAATATCGGGTTCTCAGAAATGGGCTCTTCGGCCAGCTGAAGCTACTCTACAGATAGGGCTTCTCCAGGTAAAGACCCTGTGTACGGAAGCAATCAAGGCGTCTGAAAAAGTGGATAAATTGCCAGGACAATAAATTTTCCAGTGCAAAACATCCTGTCTAAATTTTTAATTTTAATGATCAACCGAAAGGAATGAAAGTTATTATTTTTCACTCGCGACAATATTTGGTCAACCTTCGATGAAAGTAAAGGTGGTTTTTCATTTCGGACGGATTCCGAAAGTTGCCGCAAGATGCGGGGCCAGCGTAAAACTGTGTCGTATAGCAAAGGTTTTTAATAGATCATCTTCTAGGAGATTCTGCAGGGACCAAACCGATCCGTTGTAAAAAGTGCGCCGTTGCATAAAAGGGGGGCGTATAATCGAAGTTCCACATGTAGTAGAGCATACGCACTAACGCGTATGCGCCTTCCATAGAGATCGAAAAACCCCGTGCTCTGATTGCGCGAGAACCTGTGCCGCCTTTGCCAGACTTGCGGTACGCCAATTTTCCGTCGCGACCTCGTTGCGACTCCTCTGTTTGAATAAACATCAACGCATTTGGTGGAGGCTGCCGAGATCCCCAAGCAGACCTGGAGCTCCGCTCTCGCAAGTTGGCCGAAAGACCACTGTACAACATGACTGACGCAGTCGCCAGCTAGCCCATCCCAGCTGTCGCCAGCTAGCCCATCCCAGCACAGCCAGCATCATCGGCTGCCCCGTTGACCTGCCCCGGCGCTACCCGTCAGCAGGACCCACCAATCTTAAGCTGCAGTGGTGAGCAAGACGTCGAAGACTGGCTGTCTTTGTACGAACGCGTAAGTGCCAGCAACAATGACTCTAAGCTCGCCTATGTTATCTTTTACTTGGCTGACGTCGCTAAGCTATGGTTTACCAACCGCAGAACTGCCATCGCCAACTGGTCCACCTTTAAGACCCTCGTCACCGAAGCGTTCGGCCGACCAGAAGTCCACAAACTCCGCGCTGACCAGCGTCTACGCCACCGAGCCCAGCAGCCTGGCGAGACTTTTAATAGTTATATTGAGGATGTTCTCGGCCTCTGCAGGCGTGTTAACCCATCTATGTCCCGAAGCGATCTATGTCTGAAGAAGAGAAAATTCGACAGATTCTCAAGGGCATCTAGGATGACCCGTTCCAGATGTTGCTGGGGAAAAGCCCGACTACGGTGGCAGTCCTCGTAAGCCTGTGAATTGCGTCGTCAGCGTTCCATCGCCCGACAGAGTGTCCCATCGCCCGATTCAATCTCGGCCGTCGCACTCGCAAACGGCAACGTTCGCCAAGGAACTCTGTCGAACCAGATTAAAGACTTCATAAGGAAGGAAGTCGCCCGACAGCTCTCTCTGCTGCCACATAGCAATGTGCCCACCACAAGACTCTTTTCAACACTGTAGCAGGCCATACGCACCGAAATTTGCGATGCCCTCCCTACAATTCCTGCCCCTGATCCATCCAATTCGGTACCATCTGATCTATCAACTGCCGGCTACGCACCACCTGCGCCACCTTCACCTCTCAGCTACGCAGCTGTAGTCGCGCGGCCCCCACCGCATCCAGTCGCCTTATCGGCTCCACCTCCTCCGGCCTCGCCTCCAGTTTACAGGCCCCCACCTCGCTTTTTTCCATCCATCTAATGAGTGGCGCACCCAAGACAATCGTCCTATATGCTTCGCATGTGGCATCGCTGGCCACATTGCACGCTTCTGCCGCCGCCGTCCCACACCTGCGCACGCACACTTCGGAACTCCTACCTACGCCCCACAGCAGGCCACCACGTCTCCATATGAACAGAGGCACTTCGACTCGGGTCGCCGCCCATCGACTGCTCGTTTCCCATCTCCTTGTCACCGATCGCTATCGCCTATGCGTCGACGACCACCTCCTGAGGATGGAAACTAATCAGTGCAGTTCCGGAGGCAAGAACTGCAACTTGTGCGCAATTCCCAAGGCCTCCATTTTCGCCCCAAAATGTTGTTCATGTCGATGTTGAGCGAGTCGCCACATTTGCATTAATTGATACCGGGGCCGCCGTTTCTGTGATGAACACAACATTTTGTCGGAAACTGAAGAAAGTGACCACATCTCTCTCTGGCATGGTGCTGTCCACGGCTAGCGCGCAACACATTCATCCCTCGGCTGTGTGTACCGTAGGCGTCGTCATCCGAGACGTTTTGTACGTCGTACAGTTTTTGTTCTACCATCTTGCTCTCATGACCTTATCCTGGGTTGGGATTTCTTCTCACGTCATGAAGCTATCATCGATTGTTCCTGTGCCGAAGTGCCCCTTGTGCCAACATGTGAATTTTCACCACCCGACTGTTCTCTGCTCTGCAAACTCATCGCTGACGACGACATCACCTTGCCTCCAGAAGCTTCAGTCCCTATTAGCCTTTCATGTGTGGCGCAACCTGACGCAACGGTGCTATTTACGCCATCTCCGGTTTTTACTGAACGCAAGGGCATTGTTCTCCCATTTTCCGTTCTTACGATTGCGTCTGGTTTAACCGTAATGCTGGTTACCAACCACTGCAACTATCCTATCGGCTAACTTCGTGGTGAAACGTTAGGATATGTGCAACCTGTTGACCATATCGATGATATTACTCTTCCCGACGAAACCCCATGTCACATCGCCACAATCACTCATGCGTCCGAGCCATCAAGTTCGTCTGCCTTCGGCAATGCTATCGATGCAGATCTTCCCCTCTCGCATCACCGCCAACTTGTTGCTCTCCTTAACCAGTTTTGCTCTTATTTGAACCTGCTTTAGGCCGAACCACGACTATCACTCATACTAATGACACCGGCTAACATTCGCCTCTGCGACAGCATCCTTACCGCGTGTCCGCCGAAGAGCGTCGCGTCATTATGGAGTAAGTAGATGACATGCTTAAACATGAAGTCGTACAGCCTTCTAAAAGCGCTTGGGCATCGCCTGTGGTTCTGGTAAACTAAAAAGATGGCACCGTTCGATTTTGTGTGGACTATCGCCGTTTAAACAAGATTACGAAGAAAGATGTCTACCCGCTACCACAAATAGACAATGCTCTTGACTGTTTACAAGGCGCCGAGTACTTTACATCCTTGGATCGGCGTTCTGGGTATTGCCAGGTGCCAATGGCTGAATGTGATCGCCCTCAAACAGCCTTTGTAATGCCGGATGGCCTATATGAGTTCAAAGTCATGCCATTTGGGCTCTCCAACGCACCTGCCACATTTGAGCACATGATCGATACCATCTTGCGTAACCATAAGTGGAAAACTTGCTTGTGTTACTTGGACGACATCGTAGTCTTTTCATCTGATTCCCGACACATCTTGTTCACCTCCCCGAGATTCTGACGTGTCTAACTTCCGCAGGCCTACAACTTAACTCCAAAAAGTGCCACTTCGCAGCACGAAAACTAACCATCTTGGGACATGTCATAACAAGAGACAGTGCTCTTCCGGATCCCGATAAGCTTCGAACTGTCGCTGACTTCCCGTTGCCCACATCACTGAAAGCCCTAAGAAGTTTCGTTGGTCTCTGCTCCTACTTTCGTCGCTTCGTGCACAACTTCGCGTCCATCGCACCTCTCACGAGTCTGCTTTCCAACAGCAAAGGTATATCTGCATGGTCGTACTGCATGTGACGACGCATTTCGCCAGCTGCGCCGCCTGCTCACCTCACCACCTATTCTTCGTCACTACGACCCCGCTGCTGCCACAGAAACTCACACCGATGTAAGTGGCATCGGTCTTGGTGCAGTTTTGGCACAACGGAAAGGCACCCAAGCCGAATACGTAGTCACCTATGCAAGTCGCGCTCTCAAGAAGGCTGAATTGAATTACTCCATCACAGAGAAGGAATGTTTGGCCATAATCTGGGCGTTGATGAAGTTTCACCCGTACCTTTACGGCCGTCCTTTCGACGTGGTCACAGACCACCACGCTCTATATTGGCTGTCCACCTTGAAAGACCCGTCCGGACGCCTGGGGCAGTTCCATTGCAAGAATACAACATCCGTGTCGTTTATCGTTCTGGTCGCAAGCATGCGGATGCCGATGCACTTTCGCGATCGCCATTAACACCAGATGTGGCTTCTCTGTCCCCCCTTTTTACCATCTTGTCACCAATCGACACCACTGACATGCTTTCAGAGCAGCGTAAGGACCCATACATTGCATTGTTACTCGACTACCTTATTGATCCGTCTGCTGTCCCTTCCACGAGAGCGCTACGCCGGCCCCGTTCTTTCCGTTGTACGGCCGCGAATCATCCCACTCACTCGACACTATACTCCCGTACCGCCCTGATGCATCGAAGTGCTCCCCGCTTTCGGAAGTCGCCAGATACGCTGAAGACTGCCGTCAGTTGGCTCAATCTATGACAAGTGAGGCTCAAGGTCTACAAAAG